CGCCCTCGTAGCCGTCGGGGTTGACAAGTTTGCAGTGGGAGCCGGTGCCCGAGATAAGCACGATGCCGCCTGTGGGCACATGAGGGGACGGGGCGCGTGGCGCCGGGACCCACGCACCACCTTCCTCCACCCCAGGCGCTCCTCTTCCTCAGCCCAGGGGCTCCTCTTCCTCAGCCCCAGACACTCCTCTTCCTCATGCCAAGTGTTCCTCTTCCTCCACCCCAAGCACTCCTCTTCCTCAGCCCCAGACACTCCTCTTCCTCCACCGCAAGCGCTCTTCTTCCTCATTCCAAGTGTTCCTCTTCCTCCACCCCAAGCACTCCTCTTCCTCATCCCAAGTGTTCCTCTTCCTCCACTCTAAGCACTCTTCTTCCTCAGCCCCAGACACTCTTCTTCCTCCACCGCAAGCGCTCTTCTTCCTCATCCCAAAGCCCTCCTCTTCCTCCACCCCAAGCCCTCCTCTTCCTGCACCCAAATCACTCCTGTTCCTCAGCCCCAGGCGCTCCTCTTCCTCCGCCCCAAGCGCTCCTCTTCCTCATCCCAAAGCACTGCTCTTCCTCAGCCCCAGGCGCTCCTCCTCCTCCTCCCTGCCACGCTCTGCCCGTGGCCTCACCGTGCTCGCTGGCAGTGGCCATGGCCCCGATGGCGTCGCTGCTGATGCAGTAGCTCTCGCTGAGTGCCGGGAAGCGCCGCTCCAGCTGCACCAGCAGGTCGCCCATGGCCTCCTCTTGCTCGCCACCACTCAGGGACAAGCCCTGCACAGGGACAGGGGGCTCAGCCGCGCGGGACACCCCGCTCCCGCACGGAGCGGGACGCGGCGCGGGCACACAGGACTCACCAGCGCGCGCAGGGGCACGTGCGGCTCCACGCCAGCCTTGCCCTTGGCCTCGACAACCATCTGGTTGATCCTCTGCAGACACTGCTCGGAGCCCACGAGCTGCGGGGCGGTGCGTGAACCCCCGTCACCGCGGCCGTCCCTGTGCAGTCCCCGCATCCGTCCCCACGTCCCCGCGTGTCACCAGCCATCTCTCACCCAG